TTTTAAAAAGTTCAATATATACGTTATAAGTGTACCAAGGGTATTAATTGGTAGCAAATTGAGATCAATTGAGGCATTTCAAAGGGTTGATTATGGGTGATGGTCCCCTAGATTTTTTTAACCTTTTGGTGGATTTAATACATTATTACGTCATTTCATGTGGAATTTAATTCTAAAACTTTTTTTACTCTTATTATTTTTTAAAAAACTTTGTCGTTTTCATAAAAAATTCAAATAACTAAAGACACGTATTTCGTTAATGCTACTTAAAATCATCGAAAATTTAGTAGTCGGCTGTGAAATTGTACGTCAAACTTGACAAATAGGTTATAAAACCTTGTTGTCAAATAATTTTATAACCTTTTTGTCAAGTTTGACGTACAATTTCATAGCCGACTACTGAATTTTCGCTTATTTTAAGTAACATTACGAAATAAGTGTCATTAGTTATTTAAATTTTTTATGAAAACGACAAAGTTTTTTAAAAAATAATAAGAGTAAGAAAAGTTTTAGAATTAAATTTATATATTTTAAATCCGTCAAAAGGTTAAAAAGATCTGTCAAAATGTAGAGTATAAAAAAATTTAAAAATTTAAGAGCCAACTTTGAAGACCTATAACTCCTCAGGGATACAACTTGGTATAGAGATAAGTTGCGTTAAATCATCTTAATTTATTGTCCTCTACATGTTCCTGCTCTGTGTCGGTTCTTATGTGAATCACTCTGTATAATAAAAACCTTGACCTACATAAAATGAAACATGTCAACATAATTTGACATTACAATAAAACCTCAATATAACGGATTAATACGGGGAAGGCAGTGTCTGTTATAGCTCAATAAAAATATACAATAATCTAGTGCTGACTAACAAATAAAACTAGACTAATACTAGCACTAGAACTAACACTAGACCTAGAACTAGAAACATTCCGTTTAGCTATACCTCTCTAAAGACTAGTGATAGAACGGATGGAACGGATAGTGATTTTTGCGAAAAGCCGAATATCCGGTTATCCAGCATATCTATCGGGTCATTATGGTTATAATTTCTGGTACATTTCTGAAGTGATTGCCACATTATTGCGATATTTGAATAAAAATGAAATTAATAAGAAAGCTGATAACATATATCAACTTATTTGTCAACTTATTTAGATATGTCAACTTATTTGGATCCAAAATACAAAATGAACTTTTTTGATGCTGATTTAATTAACGAAACAACTCTAAAAAGAGGATACTTTAATTAATAATTGGTGATATTTCCACAAGCATCCTTCAAGAAATAAATTGTATAGCGAATTTTGAAAATTATAGATGAAAATTGCAACATCGAAAATTTTATCAAAACTTCAAATATTGTTTTCTCAAAAACTAAAAGTTATTTTTCAAAACNTTTCGTCGTATGCGAAATATTTTAATTATCCCCTTTATAATTAGGACCGGTTGACAACAAGAGCAAAATGTCGAAAGAAAAAGGGATGAAATTTACACTATACTCTATTTTTTAATTCGGAGGAATAAAATGAAAAGTCACCTTTACACAGTGTAATTTTTTAAAGCTACTTTTTGGCGAGAGTTTAAAACCAGACAGGATTTTAAGTAAATTGTAGTTACGAATTTAATTACTTATTTGTTTAAGGCCCACTTTTACCACCTCTTGATAAATTTATCCGATTGATAAATTGGCGCTCTTAGCCAATGAGAGCGCTTAAAACCGTTGTAACCATGGTAATTATCTATCGGTTAAATTTATCAAGAGGTGGTAAAAGTGGGCCTAAGGCCCACTACTACCACTCATAGTTAAAGTCTCTGATAGCGTTATCTATCGGATAGCTTTATCTTATAGATACCGCTATCCAAGGGATAACTTTTGAAATATCTGTAACCCGTGGATTGGGTGTCGGATAAGTTGCTATCTAAGGGATAAATCCTAACCTCATATACGATTTATGCTGACGTATAAAATTCGAGCGTTTTACTATTTTAGTGTTTAGTTTTTCACTAAAAATAAATGTAGTAATAATGTAAATAAATTTTTATTTTCTTAAATTACTATTTTTCTACAAGGAAATTGGAAATGGAAATAATACAAGGGAATTGATAGCTGAACGTTGTGTATTTTTTTATAAAGCTTAGTTATCAATTCTCTTGTATCTTTTTCATCGCAAGCCTGAGTAATTAGATAAAATCAATTCTAATTTTAAAGTAATGCTGCTTGCTTTCTTTTTATTTTTATTTCTAAGTCCAGCAATTCCATTTTCTTTTCATGCTCTTCTTTCGCTTGTTTAATAAGCAATTCAATTAATTCCAGTCTCTTTTCATTCAAGTGGTTATATCCATCATGGATAGATTTGTTTGCGGTTTCTGTAAACAAGTATACATATGTATTAAAGTAATATTACATACAAGAATCTAACTTACTTGGCTTTGAACCCATATCCAACACACGACAGTTCCTTTTCCTAAGGTTTTGTGGGTTCTATGTGGTCCAATTGTTGTTAACAATTGTTGTAAATTGTTGGTTTATGTAATTCAACTGATTGATTTTTGACAATTTCTTGTTGTAGTTGTTGTACGAGTTCTTCCTCTATAACTAATTGTACATCCACTGGTGTAGAAGACAACACTTTATTATGTAAGGAAACTGGTGTAGAGAGTGGTTCTTCTACATCAATTTTTGCAACCTCCGTTATATCTAAGTTACAATTATGAACTTAATAATATGAGCCCTAAAAGAATAAAATTATCGAACCCACTTACCGCCGCGCCGTTAGTCCGCGGGCTATTTCTATCCAGATCTTTCAAAAGAGTTGACATAAATATATTGTTTATCATCACATTTTAACATACAATAATAGAGATATACATACTTTTTGCTTTCCTTGTCATGTAACTGCATCACTTTTTTTGTTTTCTATTACGTTTTGATGTTTGATAACAAATTCAACAAGATGTTCTCATTCTTCTTTTGTGAAATTGGTGGTTCGTCGCCTTTTATCAGTCTCCATTTTCAAATTTAAATTTTAGAACAGGTTAAAATATCGTCAAAATACCTAATAGTAGGTCTTTTGACCACATAGAGCTGTCAATTTAACATAATAGGCAAAAAATCCCTAGATTTCTTGGTTATTTCAAGGATTCCTTAACTATGAGATAAATGGAGGTGGTAGTACGCACGACCCTGTTATCTACGAGATAAATTGTATCTTATAGATAGCTTAACTAATAGATAGCATTGGTTTGGTAGTAACGGGCCTAAATATAATAAAAACCTTGACCTACATAATATGAAACATGTCAACATAATTTGCCATTACAATAAAACCTCAATATAACGGATTAATACGGGAAAGGCAGTGTCAGTTATAGCTCAATAAAAATCATATAAAAATATACAATAATCTAGTGCTGACTAACAAATAAAACTAGACTAATACTAGCACTAGAACTAACACTAGACCTAGAACTAGAAACATTCCGTTTAGCTATACCTCTCTAAAGACTAGTGATGGAACGGATAGTGATTTTTGCGAAAAGCCGGATATCCGGTTATCCAGCATATCTATCGGGTCATTATGGTTATAATTTCTGATACATTTCTGAAGTGATTGCCACATTATTGCGATATTTGAATAAAAATGAAATTAATAAGAAAGCTGATAACATATGTCAACTTATTTGGATCCAAAATACAAAATGAACTTGTTTGATGCTGATTTAATTAACGAAACAACTCTAAAAAGAGGATACTTTAATTAATAATTGGTGATATTTCCACAAGCATCCTTCAAGAAATGAATTGTATAGCGAATTTTGAAAATTATAGATGAAAATTGCAACATCGAAAATTTTATCAAAAGTTCAAATATTGTTTTCTCAAAAACTAAAAGTTATTTTTGAAAACGGGTTAGTTCATTGGGTAGAGGACACTTCTATTAACACTTTGGGAAATTTTTATACTAACATTCCAAGAAATGGATTTTATACGAATTTTTAAAACTTATTCGGAGAAAATTGCAAAATTGGAAAAAATTTCGATCATTTCAAAAATTTATTTCTCAAGAACTAAAAGTGATTTTTCAAAACGGCTTTTTGCATTAAAAAGAGGATACTTTAATTAATAATTGGTGATATTTCCACAAGGATCCTTCAAAAAATTAATTTTATAGCGAATTTTGAAAATTATCGATGAAAATTGCAACATCGAAAATTTTATCAAAACTTCAAATATTGTTTTCTCAAAAACTAAAAGTTATTTTTCAAAACGGGTTGGTTCATTGGAAAGAAGACACTTTTATTAACACTTTGCGGTTATTTTTCAAACTGACCAATAGCAACCCTTCTTTTTGGCGCTTCAATTTGAAAACAGTCCTCCGAATTAAAAAATAGTGTATAGAACAGAATCGAGAGATATTTTTCAAAAATGTTTTCAATGTTTTTTTTATTAAATTGTTTCGATTCTTGTTTGTTAATTACAATAATCAGTTTCCATTAGTTGCGTGTTTGGAATTGGTCAATGGTACGTACAAGTTGAGTATACAAGAAAGGGAAAATTAGCAATTACACTAAAGCTCGCTCAAACGGCTTCTTCTTTAGTTGCACGATGCGCTCGCGCCAAACCCAGAAAAACGTCGCTAATGAGCAGCAAACGGCAAGGTCTTTCAGACGACCGCCGACATAAATTCAAACAATACAATGACCCATATTTAACGTCACGACAATGTGTGCGTAACGTCCGTGTGTGTGTGCGCACGTCGGAAAGACCGCGACTACTGAGAGACCTCTCTCAGATGGATAAATTGCTGACAGATTCGTTATTCCCGATCACGATGCCTCTCAATCACCATAACATCTTTATCTTTCTCTTTGTACAAACTCGCATAGACCACGTATTTATATAGAGTATTGATCGAAAATGAAGTTGTACTTACCTCGTTCAAAATTGCTTACACATATGGGGGAAAGATTTAGATGAAAATAAAAAAATTGTCATGTTTAATTTGAATCTTCTTTTATTTTGCAACTTCTCAATCGGAAGCCCTTACAACAGATAAATTATATTATTATAAAAAAAGACAGGATGTTGGCGTTCTTATCTAAAGTATCTACATACAAATATAATTCATTCCTATTTACAAATATATATTACAACACCTATGCACAATAAATAAATTTGAGAAAATTCTTTTTTTATGATAAACACATACATAGGTACAATAATTAAATTATTATCATAATTAATTATAATATGAGATGCTAAATGCTGATAGAAGTTATATACAACAACAAAAAAATAATTAAAAAGTAATAAATTAATATCGCGTTTTTTAATAATAATAATAATAATTGATAAATAATTAATAATTAGATTAGTAATAATTATAATGATTGGAGTGAAGGCTATATGTACATTTTAAAACTGTATTTTTTTTTTAATTCTCAATCTAATATCTATTTTCTAATAATTATTTAAGCACTGTCAGTCTTTTTTATAAGTTCACCGAAAAAAAAATCTTTATTTAGCTATTTACACACATATTCAATCAATTCAGTTTACTTTCGCATAATACTGATGCAATTATTTTCCTACATTTCACTTAATTCGTCTTGAATATTAAAAAAGAAATGTAAAGTATAAATAGAAGCGTATGTAGTAAAATTATCTCATTAAAAATGTATATAAGTTGATCACATAATAGTATCGTAATACTGACTTTGTTTTAAAAACAGAAAAAAGAAATAAAAAATAACAATGTACAAAAAGTCACAAGATACAAAGTAAAAATTTAAAGAAAGATAAAAAATGATATAAAATTGTGTTGATGAAAATGATTTTATAAGCACGTGTGCACAATCTTCGTTGACCTGCAAACATCGCATTTGACCTCACAGCACCATTTAAACGTACAGTTGCACCTCTCGGCTACTGGAACTTCTTGAGTTCTGTACCCTCGACCACAACACATCAGGTCGCAACCGTCTACACCCAAAGAAGTATCATTACATTGCCTACCGTGAGTTCCCAATATTCCCAACTTTGGATTCTTTTCGCAGAATCCCGGCGAAGTTTCCAAGTAAACTAAATCTTCGCTACCTGGTGGTTTGTGTTCAGAATTGAAAGGTTTAAATTGGAACCCGTACTTAAACTTTTTCGCGTGATTCATTCTTGGACTATGGATACTGTTTTGAAGAGCATTGGGACTTTCTTTTTTCGGCCGTTTGCTTCGCGCTTCATTTCCAGTTCTTGTAATAGCGGAATTACTTGCCATCACTCGAGAAGCACCGTCAAATCTATCTTTTAGTTGATCACCGATCGCTCGAAACGGTGGAAGTCGCATCCAACACGTTTTTACCGTACAAGATCCGGACATTCCGTGACATTTGCATTCTTGACGCATTTGAGATTGTACATGCTGAAAAGAAAGAGATATGTTTAAGAAATTTTAATAAAATAAAACGAATGTTTCGAATGAGAGAGTGTGTGTGTGTAAACATGTAGAAGCGTTGCTGTTTCTTCCGGTTTTAATGTGCCTATGAAAATGCGAGTCTCGTATCTCGTACACGTCGCCACGAACACATGTAACCGCCGCGATATCTGCGTGTACGAGTATTCCTCTTGGGGGACATCTGGGCTAACAGCAGGCGGTTGGAGCTCGGCAGATATAGCACGGTTCGTGAGCTTTTTACGGTTTTTACCTGTCGGCGCGGCTCGCAGCCGAGCTTTCGCAATTTTCCGCGCAAAAACCTACGGGTTTACTATTACTCATTGTGGATGGTCGCGGTCACGACTCTCGCGTCTCTCTACGGTTCCTGGATGTTAAGTAGATGGTGCCGCAACGGGACGACAAACCAAGGAGATAGATGGCCCTAATTAGCCTCGTTTCTGGCCATCTCAATTAATTCCACTGATATTAAGGGGCCGTCGGATGTTAATTGCCACACAGTTAGTTTGTTTTATTGCGAATTTCATCTCGAACCAGGTGCGAGTTAACTTTACTTTGAAACACGTGGGAAAATCTTTGTTACAATCATTTAAAAAAAAACTTTGTTTTCTTATTTCACCAAATTTGGGAGAGTTGTATTGCGCTTTGTTCTTAATTCGATCAAGGATTTCTCGAGCAACATCACCTGCTGCTCGATAAAATTAAGTTATGTAATAAACGGTCGAGTTCTAGTTTTACACTAACACTATCACTAGAACTAACACAAGACTTAGAACTAGAATCATTCGGGTTTAGCCGTCTTGAAAGACGTGCGGCTAAATCCGAATGTTTCTAGTTCTCGGTCTAATGTTAGTTGTAGTGATAGTGGTAGGTAGTGCTGGTTAGCATAAGATGTCACCATGTTGCATATTTATGTTGCACTAAAACTAGAACTAACACTAGACCTAGAACTAGAAAGTATCGGGTTTAGTGTTAGTTCTAGTTTTACACTAGCACTGTTACTATGTAGAACTAACACTATACCCAGAACTAGAATCATTTGGGTTTAGCCGCACGTCTCTAAAGACGGCTAAACTCGAATGATTCTAGATCTAGGTATAGTGTTAGTTCTAGTTTTACACTAGCACTATCACTAGCACTATCACTAGCACTAACACAAGACCTAGAAATAGAATCATTCGAATTTAGTCGTCTTGAGAGACGTGCGGCTAAATCCGAATGTTTCTAGCTCTCGGTCTACTGTTAGTTTTAGTGATAGCGGTAGGTAGTGCTAGTTAGCATAAGATATCACCATGTTGCATATTTATATTGCACTAAAACTAGAACACTAACACAAGACCTAGAACTAGAATCATTGGGGTTTAACCGTCTTGAGAGACGTGCGATTAAATGTTACAATCATTTAAGAAAAAAAACTTATTTTTCTTATTTCAACAAATTTGAGAGAGTAGTATTGCGCTTTGTTCTTAATTCGATCAAGGTTTTTTCGAACAACATCACCTGCTGCTCGATAAAATGAACTTATGTAATAAACCTTCGTTATCTGCTTTAACATGAGCAACTTGGATTATTTTCTTTCAACTTTTAGAGAGAAGTCGCGCGTGGCCGTAGGTTTCGTAATGGCAAATAACGTCGTTTCGTTGTTAAAGAGACGTCAATCAACGTGAATGGAAAGACGGAATCGAAACGCACTGCTGCCCACTAAATGGCTGGGCTCTTTCAGCAAGTAAGTGACCGTTTACCATTGCAAATCGTGGAGTGCACTCCACCGGCCCCCAGATTTTGCCCTTCAATCTCGACATCTGGCCAATCCGTTGTTATTCATGACTTTTAACAAGGCGAAAAATCGAGAAGAGAATTTACTAAATTGATCGGGGGATTTGGTTTTTAAAGCAACATGTGTGTAGTAAGTAGGTATAAAAGTTTGAATATAGAGGAGGGTTTTTTCAATAAAAATAAAAATATCAAAAAGGACATGTTTAATAAATTGAAGTCCGATTAAGATTAAAATAATATCGACCTCATTTCTTCGATGTGAGAAGAGATGACATGATTTACGCGGAATGAGTCCATTACTACCGGGTGGTCCGGTCGAATTAAAATGCATATTAACTTGTTACCGACCGCACATCATCCAGTGACACTGGCCCGGAGCGCATACCAGATTTCATTAGCACTAACAACTGTGAAGAACACAATAAAAAAACGCCGAGGACACCGACGGCAACGTTCGAAAAGGGGGATAAAAGGGGGACCGGAGGAGACGTGCGCGGTCGCTCTCGTAATTATAACGACAACGGGAAATAAGAAAAGTGTATCAAATGAAGACTTCAGAGAGCGACAAACCGTGAAATATTTCATTAAGGTACACGAGACTGATCCGGCCCAAGGTAGTGGTTACCGATGGAAATCGATAGAGGAGATTAAAGCCGGGGGAGCTCATTAGCATAAAGCATAAACAAATTATTTACAGGCCGACGGACGGTAGGAAGGGTATTAAGTCGCGCGGCCAAACCTTGTGTTTGTAATTGTGAATTATATTAGTCTTGTGGTCAAGTAAAAATAGATACTGCCGCCGCAAACCTTATAAATATTAATAACCTAAAATTAAGTAATTATGTACGCGTAATCAACAGCGGGAAAAAACGGACATTACGCTATTTAAATTCTTTTTAAACACTATACTTTTATAATGTCTTTATAACAACTTAAAATGCATTTTAATTCATTTATAGTAGTTCTGTAGTAGTGCCTGAACTTTATTTGGTACATTATTAATCAAAATTTCTTGATCTTATATGTTATATAGGCTCCTTACATTAAATTATTACGATTTAACCCAATTTATGTTAGTCCAATTGTTAATAATAACGAAGATGGTTCAAGTTAATACTTTATTTTCGTTTTTCTGTAATAATTTTTAATAACACATTAATTAATAATTTTTAATACGATAAATAATGATTTGGTATTAGTTTTGAATTATCTTTCAGCTGGCGCTGCCTGCCTTAAAAAAACTCCTTTAAAGTAGTCATATCTTTTTCATCGTGAAAATGTTTACAACTCATACAACTTGAAACAGTTTCTCAGACATTTTTACATAAATTTGGTATACCTACCAATCTTTTCTAAAACTTTCCGTTTCCAAGATAATCCCCGTTTAAGGGCACTTTAAAAAATTTATCTATGCTCAGTAAACATTAGTTGACGTTGAAAATGATTTTATTTAGTCAAACACTAGACTAACACTGTCAATTGGCATTAATACTAGTTAGTTAAAGCGAGTTAAATGCTAATTGACAGTGGAAATTATTAAAGAAAAACCAAAATAAAGTATTTACTTCAGCAATCTGTATCTTCGTTATTATTAACAATTGGACTAAGATAAATTGGATTAAACTGTTTCAAGTTCTGTGAGTTGTAAAAATTTTAACGATGAAAAAGATATGACTACCTTAAGGGAGCTTTTAGGGTAGGCAACGCCATCTGAAAGATAGATCAAAACTAATACCAAATTAACTAATTTTCATGTTCATAATTTAAGTAAAAGCGAAATTATTAAAGAAAAACCAAAATAAAGTATTAACTTTAACCATCTGTATCTTCGTTATTATTAACAATTGTATAAAGATAAATTGGGTTAAATCGTATTAATTTAATGTAAGGAATTCACCGTTGCTGTGTCCCATTAGTAACGGACCAACCCTGTATAATTTGCTGCGGGCAGGATATAAAAGATATGGTTCAAATTACACTCTGATATTTTAATAAAACCTTTATGGTTGAAAATTAGAAGTATGGTCTTCAGAAGCACGGCTAAACCCGATATTTTCTAGTTCTAGGTCTAGTGTTAGTTCTAGTATTGCACTAGCACTATTACTAGAACTAACACAAGACCTAAAACTAGAATCATTCGGGTTTAGCCGTCTTGAGAGACGTGCGGCTAAATCCGAATGTTTCTAGTTCTCGGACTAGTCTTAATTCCAGTATTGCACTAGCACTATTATTAGAACTAACACAAGACCTAGAACTAGAATCATTCGGGTTTAGCCGTCTTGAGAGACGTGCGGCTAAATCCGAATGTTTCTAGTTCTCGGTCTAGTGTTAGAATGTTTTATGCTAACTAGCACTACCTACCACTGCCACTAGAACTAACACACTAATTGAGGAACGCTTTTGATGTTGGTAAACGGGATTAAGTGGTGTTGCAGTTTTACATCGTGTAAAGTTTTTTTATAAAGCCATATAAGTTAAATAAATTAAATTTTAATTAATTTTAAATTTAGAATTTTTTAAATTACAGTGAAAAAGAGTGACTAAAACTATATTCTGATTTTTTAAATGATTTTGACATACAAATGTCATCGTAGCGTTAAACGTCATTTTGACGTTTAAATCTACAACAAATTTTCCTAAAATGGTACCAACCTAAATTTTTGGAAATCTTTTGATGAATGTCATGAATATTAACGTTGAGTAACATCTAAAACTAGAACTAACACTAGACCTAGAAAGTTTCGGGTTTAGCCGTGCGTTCTCTTAGTTTTACACTAGCACTGTTACTATCTAGAACTAACACAAGACCTAGAACTAGAATCATTCAAGTTTAGCCGTCTTGAGAGACGTGCGGCTAAATCCAAATGTTTCTAGTTCTCGGTCTAATGTTAGTTGTAGTGATAGTGGTAGGTAGTGCTACTTAGTGCTATTTATATTGTACTAAAACTAGAACTAACACTAGACCTAGAACTAGAAACATTTGGGTTTAGCCGCACATCTCTAAAGACGGTTAAACTCGAATGATTCTAGATCTAGGTATAGTGTTAGTTCTAGTTTTACACTAGCACTATCACTAGCACTAACACAAGACCTAGAAATAGAATCATTCGAATTTAGTCGTCTTGAGAGACGTGCGGCTAAATCCAAATGTTTCTAGCTCTCGGTCTACTGTTAGTTTTAGTGATAGCGGTAGGTAGTGCTAGTTAGCATAAGATATCACCATGTTGCATATTTATATTGCACTAAAACTAGAACACTAACACAAGTCCTAGAACTAGAATCATTTGGGTTTAGCCGCACGTCTCTAAAGACGGCTAAACTCGAATGATTCTAGATCTAGGTATAGTGTTAGTTCTAGTTTTACACTAGCACTATCACTAGCACTAACACAAGACCTAGAAATAGAATCATTCGAATTTAGTCGTCTTGAGAGACGTGCGGTTAAATCCAAATGTTTCTAGCTCTTGGTCTACTGTTAGTTTTAGTGATAGCGGTAGGTAGTGCTAGTTAGCATAAGATATCACCATGTTGCATATTTATATAGCACTAAAACTAGAACACTAACACAAGACCTAGAACTAGAATCATTTGGGTTTAGCCGCACGTCTCTAAAGACGGCTAAACTCGAATGATTCAAGATCTAGGTATAGTGTTAGTTCTAGTTTTACACTAGCACTATCACCAGCACTAACACAAGACCTAGAACTAGAATCATTCGGGTTTAGCCGTCTTGAAAGACGTGCGGCTAAATCCGNCGGAAATGCCCTACCCGATTAAATTGATCGGGAAATACGTAACGTAAATTAAGTTTGGATCTGTTGTTTAATTTAATTGAGTAACGCTTTTGATGTTGGTAAACGGGATTAAGTGGTGTTGCAGTTTTACATCGTGTAAAGTTTTTTTATAAAGCCATATAAGTTAAATAAATTAAATTTTAATTAATTTTAAATTTAGAATTTTTTAAATTACAGTGAAAAAGAGTGACTAAAACTATATTCTGATTTTTTAAATGATTTTGACATACAAATGTCATCGTAGCGTTAAACGTCATTTTGACGTTTAAATCTACAACAAATTTTCCTAAAATGGTACCAACCTAAATTTTTGGAAATCTTTTGATGAATGTCGAATATTTCAACTTTTGTAATAGTTCAATAAAAAAAGTTTAAATCAATAAAAATATACAACAAATTAACGTTGAGTAACATCTAAAACTAGAACTAACACTAGACCTAGAAAGTTTCGGGTTTAGCCGTGCGTCTTCTTAGTTTTACACTAGCACTGTTACTATCTAGAACTAACACAAGACCTAGAACTAGAATCATTCGAGTTTAGCCGTCTTGAGAGACGTGCGGCTAAATTCGAATGTTTCTAGTTCTCGGTCTAGTGTTAGTTCTAGTGGCAGTAGTAGCTAGCGCTAGTTAGCATAAGATATTACTATTTTGTCTATTTTTATTGAACTAACACTAGACCTAGAACTAAAAAGTTTCGGGTTTAGCCGTGCATCGCAAGACCCGAATGTTACTAGACGGCTGACAACATTTCAAATTTTCCTAGTGTAATTTTTGCTTAAAACTGACCAATCTTTTTAGCGCTTCAATTTAAAAACACTCCTCCAAACTAAAAAACCGAGTATAGGACTGAGAGAATAACTACATTTATTGTGATTTCTTTAATTTTGTTGGATAGTTTAATTTTTGGTTCTGTTTAGTTTTTGTTTTATTCATTGTTTTTTGTGTGTTGCGATGAGTGATTTTGATAATATAATTGTTATGATCTGAATGATTTAGACAAAATGAGTTTTTTCTATACAACATCTAAACAATTCTATCCTTTAAAAACAAAATCTCTTGAACACAAAAACTTACCAATCTGCCAGCATCATTGTTATGTAAATTCATCTTCTCCCTCAAACTTCTACCTCGTTCCCCAGCATCGACGAACTCCCTTCCAAATTTAAATCCAAACTCGATGTTATCGGAACATCCGCCCCATTCCCAATCGTTCATGCTGGGAACTCCAGAGTTCGTTGTAGTAAACCTCGCCTTCCTCCTGTGATGGTTAAAATCGCAATTACAAGTCTCGATAGTTCCTTCGCTGCAAGCTCGAGCTACCGCATGAGTAACTGCCGCACTGGTTATTGCATAGATAAATGCCGTTTCTCGACAACCTGAAATTAAAAAAAAAAATTAAAATCTTTTCCTTTCGATCAAGGAGATGGGGAGACCACTTAAAAAATCTCCTTGTCAAACGAAAAACCCTGCTTATGTGAAGATTAAATAGCCTTGAAGGGGGTAGTAACAACGTATAATTAGGCTATTGAATGGACCACGACAGCGTCCACGACAAAAACCGCTCAATGGGAACTGCGTTTGATCTCGTATAATGACACGGAACGGACAATGGGACGTACAAAGAGCTCTCGCAATCGTTAAAAAAACATCTGGACATGTAAATATATTTAATACCCTTCAGCTTGTTTAGAGGGACGCGCCCTTTAACATTGTTCCAACTCAATATATTTGATTGAATTCGTTTGAAAATTACTATTTTTGCGTCTCATTTGGTGTATTTAATTACAGCACTAGCTTTATACTTGTGATAATAGAGAATGATATGAATGAATCCTAAACAAAAAAAAATAAAAAAAATTCTATCTTTAAATTTATGTAAAATCTGCAAAAGTCGGCTCTGTATCTTGCGATGTAGCTCATGTAACCCAGGTAAGAAATATATCATGGGACTCTACGGGGAGCTTCGTGATGACGTAATTACCTGGCCGCTCATCGGGGGGCCACAGATTAACGAAATAACCATAACTTATGTCTTACTTCGAAGGACTCACACGAGGATACTGTGTACACACTCTTCGCGCTCAAGATATGGTGACTTTACGATGATTAACCACGATGTTATTTCGATAATTTATCGACCGTCGAAGATCCTGACTATTTCCTCATAATTTAACGCCATATTTTCTACTACCTCTGTTACCGTTCGTAAACCGGAAACTTTTAAATTTGATGAGGTGCGATGGTTTGCGATTTAAAGAAACATTTTTCTTACTCATATCTTGACCGCAACACAATATCGGTACAATGCAATTCTTGTCCGGTAAGATTTATTGGACTGGGCGGTAAATGTGAACACATATAATATTCTGCTCTCGTTGTCCTACAGTTCATATATCATGTGAACATCATAAGAGTTGGTGTGAAGGAAAAAAAGAACAAGTCATCGTTCTTATGACTTGTTCACTTGGTACGAAGAATACCCAATAAAAACTAGTAATCCTAAGGAAAAATATATCCAACAAAAAAAAAGATAAAATAAAAAATTCTTTCTTATGGGTTTCTTCGACAATAAACACACCTAAAGGCGTCGAGATTCATATGACGTATTTCTCGCTGGTAAACATTCCGAACATCGCCCAATAAACATGCGAGCGCGGATCTTGTTGAACCTTCTCGCACAAGAAGAGTAAAACAAGTTCGAGTTCTCGAAGTGCGCGCGTTCCAAAACGTCCGGAGAGCCTTATTTTGCACCGCGCATCCATTGCTCAACGGACCATTACATTTTAATTCCCATCTCTTGTGTCGATTTGCAGACGCACCAACTGACAGCATGTGTTAATTAAAACATAGCTTATACGAAAATCTAAAAACGTACAAGTTCTCACGGGATCAAGATATAAAAAATATATAATGAAGAAATTTATTTATAAATGTTTGTAATGGGGCCGATCTTTTTTTATTGGCTTATTCGATAGTTTAGCAAAATTGAAAACTTCTATAATTTTTTATTTTTCAAACTGGGCTTTAGTTTTTCCATAAAATAATAATAAAAATTTGAAAAAACTTTGGAGACGTCACCGTCGTTTCGCGCGTGATTGGTTGAAATAAAAATCAGTAAAAGATGCATGAGCGAGATGCCACAAGAATCTTATGCGCTAGAAGAAGAGATCCGAACGATGCACGTTTGTGTCTTCTTGATCTTACGCGAAAACTTCGTAAACGTCACCAAAGCTTTTATAGAGGAGATTTTGAATTTTAATATTAATTATTGTAAAAATTAAACAATTTTAGGATCTATTGTTACATAGTTTATCGATTTTTTGAAAGACGGTCTTTCTATTCGATTGAGGGTAACGGCCCCATAGTTAATTGTGATTTGAAAGCCGGGNACTAACACTAGACCGAGAACTAGAAACATTCGGATTTAGCCGCACGTCTTTCAAGACGGCTAAACCCGAATGATTCTAGTTCTAGGTCTTGTGTTAGTTCTAGTGATGGCGCTAGTTTAAGTTCAATAAATATATACCACATAGTAATACCTTATGCTAACTAGCGCTACCTAAGGGCCTAAGTAAAGAGCCTAAGGCTCGTTACTACCATCTTCTGGTTAAGCTATCTAAGGTAGTAATGGACCTAAGACCGCCAATTTATCTATCGGATAAATTTATCAAGAGATGGTAAAAGTGGAGCTAAGACAGGTACAGCTAAACGAGATGTTTCTAGTTCTAGATCTAGTGTTACTTCTAGTGCTAGTATTAGTCTAATTTTATTATTGTATATTTTTATTCAGGTATAACAGACATTGCCTTCCCCGTAGTAATCCGTTATATGGAGGTTTTAGTGTAACGTCAAATTATATTGACATACACAGTTCACTTAAACTTCCGACAAAAAATAGCTTTGAAAAATTACAGTGTGTAAACGTGATTTTTCATTTTACTGCTCCGAATTAAAAAATAGAGTACAGAAAGTTAAACGTGACTTGAAATGGGGCCGTTACACTTTTTTTTATTGGCTTATTCGATAGTTTAGCAAAAATTTCAAAATTTTTTATTTTTCAAACTGGGCTTTAGTTTTTCCATAAAATAATAATAAAAATTTGGAAAAACTTTGGAGACGTCACCGTCGTTTCGCGCGTGATTGGTTGAAATAAAAATCAATAAAAGATGCATGAGCGAGATGCCACAAGAATCTTATGCGCTAGAAGAAGAGATCCGAACGATGCACGTTTGTGTCTTCTTGATCTTACGCGAAAACTTCGTAAACGTCACCAAAGCTTTTATAGAGGAGATTTTGAATTTTAATATTAATTATTGTAAAAATTAAACAATTTTAGGATCTATTGTTACATAGTTTATCGATTTTTTGAAAGACAGTCTTTCTATTCGATTGAGGGTAACGGCCCCATAGTTAATTGTGATTTGAAAGCCGGGCCTGACTATATGAGAGCTACGTTGAGCTGATGAAGACGTTGCTCACGGTGAAGACGGCTAAGAGAAACGGGACGATGTCTCTTCTACCTGCCACCCAAGCACCAAGACCTCGGACACCTGCGGACTCTGGCCCACGCCGTGGGCAACTTACACGGGGTGTTGGTTGTAAATACCTCATTTAGTATGAATCGGTTTGTATTTGCTCCGAGGGGTGCCGTCGTCTTTTACCCCTTTTTGCATCATATCCCAACGGTACGCGATTTGTAAAATAAAATAAATCCCATCGAATCAAAGCGAATAATAAAAAGGGAAAGTAAATTAATAAAGATCAATTATTGCTTAGAAAGAAAGAAAAGTAAAATAAAGTTTGATTTAAGATACGATTTTTGAGCCGGCCATCTCTCGCTAAAGAAGAAAGATACGGTCGTGAGGCAGAACGGCCGACCCCGGTGATTTATGAAGGGACAGTAATTGACTTTGTTTTATTAATTGTTTAACTCCGGGTAGGTCATCCCTCCGCAGGGGTCGTTAAAACAATGGACCTTTAACGATTCCACCGGAGATTTAATGTTTTATTGAAAGCGCTATATCCCGGAGGCATAAACAGAACAGTACGACGTCGTACAATTTTACGTCTCAACTAACAACCCAAATAATTGAACATCTGCAAGAGGACGAAACGGGACACCGTCATATGTCACGTCGTCCATTGTTATTGCGTGGTGACCGTGTAAAAACGATCGATTAGAAAATGAGCTGTGGCGTGAACGCGATGTAAATCGATTCGAAAAATGCAATGAGACGGGTTTACGGAAACATAAGGAAGACAAAGATAAAAGCCTGGGCTAATAAATAGTTTGCGACCGGCGGCATTCTCTAAATAGTTGCGGCCGCATAATTGTTTTCTTTACGATGATGGTAATTGCGCCGCGTCTAAGGCCTTAAAGGACAATAGAGCCTTGCGGTTTCAGGCTCACAACGTGTCCGGCACTAAACATCGCCTTGATTTAATTTCGTGGCTGCAGGATTCACTTATGTAGCACGCAAACTATTTAGTTTCGCTTTGTAACAGGTGATCATTAGCGTACAATACCTACAGTTTGGTAACGAGAGGAATTGCAGAATTTTACTTTAGGCTATAATAATAATAAATTTTAATTTTAACCTAATTAATTTTACTTTTAAAGAATTTTATTTAAATTACAAATTCTTTTCAAAAACAATACTTGTCGTTTTAAAACCTAACAAAAAGGTACAAAAGTAGATCAGTTGAATTTGTGTTTTGAAATCACTTTTTCTAAAGAATGGTTCCACCCTCAACTGCCCCCGTTGTGGCCAAAGTAACCATAAAATTGCGTTTTAAAGCCACGCTTCTTATTCCTCGAACTCAAAGTGCTGTTCTTCTTCTTGTTCGTGGTAGCATCTTGTTCGTAACTGCAGGAGGTGACGTTAAACGTTGCCCGTTTGTACCAGAGCATGACCCTCGATTAGACCCCATTGAACGTCTTTTACTTAATGATAGATGTCCCGATGATTAAAGCGTGTCTTCGCTTCTTTATTGGGAACGGTATGGTGCCGATTTTGGTAGCTGATTTTTAGCAGAGAAACTTGGCCTCTTCGTGGACAAAAACAATGAATGGGTAGCATTCATTGTGCCTTTGTGATTTATTGGTCAATCCTTTTGGGAGCATCTTTTAACTAAGGGTGTAGAAAATAACACGAAGACAAATCGACTGCTTGTGTTTAGAATTTTTAAGAAAAGAATCAAAAAAAGCATTTTTTTTTGTGTTGAAGTAAAATAATCGAAACTATGTAAATGATCAACGGTGTCAGTCGACAATAGAATTTCAAGAATGTCTTCCACCGTTCACGTCCTGAAGTGAAATAAATCCGGTAAGGATAACCGTTACGAGGACGGTATAGATGGTATCTGGTTGTGGCATCTCAGGGAGGGTTAAGCCGTGTCCAAGACGATTTTGTCACCGAATATAATTTTACGAGACAGCGTAGAGTCTCGACGATGCCCTCCAGTTAGACGGAGTGTCGCGATCATGAACCAGATATCTTTTTGAAACCAAAACGGAAGGTGGACAAAGAGAGAAAGACGTGTGGTCTTGTCTCCCACCAACGAAGAAGAAGGAAGAAACGGAAAGGGAGTTTATCTCTTCGAGTTCGAAAGCAATTATTATTTAGACGTGAAAGGACACGCCAGCCCAATTTATCCCTACCGGTAAACTTAATAATGTCAATTTGTCAATCATTTAATTAAACCCGAATCGTTTTAATTCGATGTACGAACCGGCGTGGTGGAGCGGCGTTGAGGGGCGGGAAACCAGGGGCCCGACTAAAGTGGCATTTCGGGTAGCGGTTATCTACAGATCTGTGACTTCGTGAACCGGCAGCTATTTGTTATTTCGGCGCTCAGATAAGCCATCGATGTATATATAATGCCCGAGCCCTATTAGTTCGATCAATTGATCCGTAATTTGAGAGCGATCGCGTCCTATTCGAACTGGGAGAAAAGCGAGAGACCCGCCCGAACCCCGGGTTAGATTGACCGTGTAAATTTCATGGATTTCTCACGGACCGGTTCACCGCGGCCGTCCCATACCGCGGATGCCAACCGACGGCGTTATACGATGCTCCCACATCCTATAATGCATTCCCTGGATGGTTATTATACGGTGACCTTTACCATGGAACACGTATTTTCAGTTTTATTCCATCAGGAACTCTTTTACATTAATTTAGACAATTTTTATTGACAAATAAGTATCACACCATTTCGTAATAGTTTGCTAAAATAGACGGGACTCATACCATTACTAAAGCTTTAGAATCCCATTAGATTGCTAATTATCAGAATCTTCTAAGCAAGAAAAATACTGAGAAGGTACGAAGAAATTCCTACAATTATCCATGAAAGGAATCAGTTCTCCAGTGATGAAGGAAAAACTCAAGCCTTTGCTGATTATCTTTAATTAACATTTACTCCTCACATACCTCGAGAAAACATGTCTTCTTCTGTTACTATTCAAACATATAATGAAACTCATCTTCCGCGAATAGAAAGAGTAGATGAAGAAATCATATATTTAATTAACAATCTACCCAATAGAAAAGCTTAATGCTTAAAAATTGGTTACTTTCCGGTGACTTGGAAAAAAATGTAAGAAATGTAATCCCAAACATACAGTTTGGTTTTCGAACGGGTCATTCAGCGATTCACCAGTTGGTGCGTGTTACAGAATTTTTTGAGAAAGATTTTTGAAAGTAAGCAATACATCACTATCGTCTTTTTAGATGTATCTAAATGCTTTGATACAGTTTGGACGGAGGGATTAAAATTCAAACTATTGCATCTAGGTCTAGATCACTGCAATATTTATGTCATATCTTCAAGAACGAACTTTTTGTGTGAGAATAAATAGGACTTATTCCGATACAAGATGTATTAGAGCAGGAGTTCCTCAAGGAGGTATATTGTCACCAACCTTATTTAACATTGAAATTGTTTGTATCCATATTCACCAAGCAATAATAATTAGATTGTGTATAATTAGAAGAACTCCTACTAAGGTGATCAATTTTCTATTTTATTGTCCAGACCTGGTTTTGGGACCCTGTCCGTCTTCGATAGACCCTACAAAGTACATCTTTCTTCAATTTTAAATACAACTATTGTTAATTAATAATTAAAGAATCAAAATAAACTTACGTCAAAATTAAAACAACAAGACAAACATTATTAAGTTACATGGATGACAGGAAAAGTTCGTTCGGCACACGTTGATTGAGGTTATAAAGTAGGTTGGTAAAGTAGACCTCGATAGGATCAATTTAAAATTTGAAATTTAAAATTATTAGTGGTCATCGAGCAAGTTCAAGAGTAAGCAGCAAATCGAACATTATGTTCGATTTGAGAGAGCACTAATAATTTAAAATCTCAATTAATTTAAATTGATCCTATCGAGGTCTACTTTACCAACCTACTTTATAACCTCAATCATCAACGTGTGTCAAACGAACTTTTGACGTAAGTTTATTTTGATTGTTTAATTATTAATTAATTAACAATAGTTTCATTTAAAATTGGAGAACGATGTACTATGCAGAGTCTACCGAAGACGGGCAGGTCCCGAAACCAGGTCTAGACAATAAAATGGAAAATTGATCACCTTAGTATGAGTTTTTCTAGTTATACACAATCTGCTTATTTAATATATTTATGCATGATATACCGTGCCAAAGATGCAATGAAAAAGGTTTGTTTGCTGACGATATGTTGATTATGATTCAAGGTAATGATTTGCATCAAGATGTTATTAACGAGACGTGCAGAAATGGCTTACTAAATGGTCCTTACACCTGAATGAAGACAAAAGTGAATCTAAGATCTTTACGTTACGGCGTTACCGAAATCCAACACGCATTGTAATTAATAACACAGAACTTCATTGGAATCCTAAAGACAAAGCTGTCAAATACTTAGATCTGCATATTGATCAACGACTAAATTGGGGTATTAATCGAACGCATTACAACAAAGAAATTCAACATAACTAAATCAAAAAGTCAAAATACTTTTTGAAATTTTCTATTTAAAATCTATTTTTTTATGAAGGTTTAAAATAATCTCATTCTACCTTTTACGCGTACAGAATTAGAAACGGTATCTATACACGAACATACAGCCCAGATAGCAGAAAACACAGAGACCAGCTATAAATTTCGACCGTATCTACTGAAAGAAACCATAAACTACGCTATGCACAGTAACTTCCTACAGAGGAATCGCAATTAGTAGCGTAAGCGATAGGAGGAAGTACCAGACCTGGGATATATTATTTTTAAACTGATAAACGCGAGAACGCTGTCAGTATGTTTTAAGTGTTCGTTCAAATTTGTGGCATTATTTTCTTTTCTATTAACCAGATATCGACGATTCCAAATTTAGAACTTGAAATAAACCAAAGTAAAGTTGTATTAGTAATTTTATAGGTTATTTATTGCGTAATAATGTCGAGTATCTTCTGGGAACGAAGAGTGAAAGTCGAAAGTGGCACGACCGATTTACGGGATTCGCTTGTATTGTACGACTCGATTCTCAAACAGGCGATAAATCGAGTAAACGTGACGCTTAACATTTCGCAGCATCATAATTACCAATTAAGCCAAACAAAGAGGGTTCGAATAGAGAGTTCGAGTACAGGAAATTCATTTACGGCGATCATGATACGAACAGACCGCAATAGCATGTATACACACTTTCTTAACGTTTTTGTTTCTTAATAGCTAAATAAAGACAATCTTACCTTTATCTACGATTTTCCCAAATAAATTTTTCCCTCTCAAAAAGTTTTTGGTTGAACAATTCCATCGTCTATTTCTAAATTGATGTTGGCATTCTGATATTGCTTGCATAGCTCCTTTAGCGATTGCATTTAAAACTCCGGGGTTTTCCCTGACTAGTTTCTGTTGTTTTTTTCTTAATGTTTCTAGTGCTGAAGGACCAAATCTTGTTATTCCAGGATGTGGGGAGAGATTATTTGGTTCATCCGCTTTTGCTATCCCCCTGTAAAAGAATGAAAAGAAAAATATTTAATCCAATAACAATTTTAAGAATATCATCAAATGTTGTAATCTCGGGGAGCGATGTAGGGCAATTAATAGTCTGCAAAACCTGAACACGGCTAATGGCCGAGGCGTAATCGAGTTTAACGTCGCCGTAAATCGCTACCGGAGGGGGCTCGATCTTCGCACACCGCACCACTTATTAAAAAGCTACCGCACGTTATAAGATTTAATCGCAGAGTACGCAAATAAACGGTAAAACTGAGGGGTAAAACGGTCCCGATAAATTTTGCGACGATAAAAAAGTCTCACGTTCGATTTATGTCGCGAAGACGACTACGACGACCATCCAGCGGCTTTTCTTCTTTCTCTTTCTTCGTTTTCTCGGTGCGTCTTCGCGGTTTCGAACGACACAACCATAATAGTAAATCAATCGAAGCGACGATTGTGGCGATTAGAATTTATTAATTGCTATTTTACTGCTCGTTAGTTCACTAATAAGGAGTAAACAGCAGTTATCGATCGTTTATGCAAAAGATCTATTACTACATAAATCATTCATGGTTTATGTTAAATTAATGGATGATATGAAATTTATCATGTATACGATTTCATCTAATTTTTTTTCAATATTTAAGACATCGCATCGATTTGAATATCCAGGATACGAGTTAATTTTGTCTATATCTAAATAAATTGTTACTATATATCTATATAAGTATCAGAAGAGTGCTTTATTTATGATTTACTTGTCTTGAAGCAATGCAATTTATTAAAATCCAAGTTTCTCATTAAATCGATTTATCTACCGTAATCGAAAACCGTATATCAGATGTCGTCTCTGAAATAATTTAATAAATTCGCCACGCGCGATTACGGTCATGCATATCGATAATAATCGAGGGCAGCTCGCCTTGGATTTTACAGCAGCTAGTAAATTATAATTTATGATCTTGAATGGCGAGGACCTCCAAGCAAGGTTTTCGATCCCCCCGAATGGTACCGGAATTAAAATTAATACCCGACAATCCTTTATTTTCATTTAATTTCAATTGATTTAATACATTGGACGCTATTATATTAACGAGTTGTATTCTTAGTTTCTCAAGAGTCTTTCTATGTTTCTAATGAATGATGCTGTCCAAATATGTGCCTTCCCAATCTACAAGTCAATAAAAAAATATCTAGTGTTTACCGACAATTCTCACCCATATGAGACAATATTTAGCTTTCACGTTATTTTTTTTCCTTGCTATCTTTCCTAAACAGACCGCGTGAGTCTTTGATTATTGAAGAACGATGGTTCTTTTTTTGTTCTTTTATCCCAATAATAAATGAATTCGTGATTTTAAAAAACGTTTGTAAGATTTTTCAGTTAAATAGAATGAGTCACTTAAAACACGATAATTGCACTTCAATTTATTCGAGATAAAATAAGAATAGTTGCGTAATTGTCTGGGTATTATAAATAATATTGTCGATTACCATGTAATTACAATGATTACCTATGAAATTGAAAGTGAAAATTCCCCTTTTATAAAAGAATTTCGCAATTTCTTATTCACGCACGATTCTTTTTTTCTTATTTTTATTGCTCTCTAAAAATAGATTAAAACTAATACAAAAATGACTTAAGCAAAGAACGCTTTCACGGCCGACATTAATTGAACTAAAATTAAAACTAACTTCGGTTAAAATCATTTCCGTTTCGTTCTTAGGAATGAGGAAATGGTTTACCTATATCTTAAATTATAGCTTAAAATATTATCTTTAAACGTTGTATCATATGTTATATGTTAATAATAGAAAGAAGAAAATTTTTTCAGAAAGTTTTTTAAGAAAAACATTCGGGTTTAACCGTCTTGAAAGACGTGCGGCTAAACCCAAATGATTCTAGTTCTAGGTATAGTGTTAGTTCTAATTTTACACTTACACTGTCACTAGAACTAACATTAAATCTAGAAACATTTGGGTTTAACGGTACGTCTCTTAAGATGGCTAAACCCGAATGATTCTAAATTTAATGTTAGTTCTAGTGACAGTATAAGTGTAAAACTAGAACTAACACTGGACCTACATCTAGAATCATTCGGGTTTAGCCGTCTTTAGAGACGTGCGGCTAAACCCAAATGATTCTAGTTCAAGGTCCAGTGTTAGTTCTACTTTTAGTACAATAAAAATATAGCACAAAGTAACATCTAAAACTAGAACTAACATTATACCTAGTGCAGCTAAACCCAAATGTTTCTAGTTCTAGGTCTAGTGTTAGTTCTAGTTTTACTCTAGCACTGTTACTACAACTAACACTATACCTATTTCGAAATGATAATGTTTGCTATTAAAGAACGTTTTAAAATAATGTTTAAAAAAATAACCTGTTATTAAGTAACCTTTTTTTAAAAAAAATTTAAATATCCTTTTTTACCTCTTTCAGGTAAATATTTAAGCTTCTCAGAACAGAATGATTAACAAAAATAATCATAACTTATTACGGTCATAAACGAAAAAAAAAATCATCTATTGTCACCAACAGGAAAAATAAATCAATCTCAATCTTTTAGTTGGAGAGTTAAAATTTATTTATTTAGACCTTTCCAAAAAATGATGTCAGTTTGCTCGTAACGACGACATTTCCATCATAATGCTGGTGAATCCAACACAATACAGCAGCACTATGGTCAAAATGTCAGCATTTCGGGCAGAAAAGTGATGAGAGATCAACAGTCACGTAAGCGAGGAAATTCCATAATTATGTCTAAGTACTTGTTATACATTAATATTATGTAAATATAATCGGAATCGAACGAAATGGGTAAATCACAATTTTAATCGATATGCAAACGATTAAACATAAAATCGATTTATACCTTGACTATGAATAAGTAATTTCTAAGAAGTTATAAACGCAAACGGGAATATTATTATCTCTTTTCAATTATCATTTTCTTTACGGATTTATACAATAAAAAAACTTGTTATTCACGATTTTATTGATTCACTTGTTTTCATTAAATTCTGTTTCAGATATAAATTCATGAAAACATTTTAATGAAACGAATTAATTTTTCGAATCGGTTAGCATCTAAATGTAATGTAAACGGATCTATAAATATCAAATAGCAGGATAAACAATCTCGTGACTTCAGATTTATAATTGAATAAGTTGATGTAATCGTTGAATTTTTATTCTATTCGTTTCAAATTTGTTGTTAATTTAATTTTTTTTTTCAATTAAATTAAATAAATTTAAACTTACCACCACATAGATCCTTTACCTCTACCGCCCTTGGCTTTGGGATCTCTATCACCAGTGCACGAGGTAAGTTGTAGAAGACACAGAAACATCACGGAAATTCTCATTTTCTGCAATCACTTTTGCCACCAGCACTAACACCGTCACGAACGCAAAAAATAAACAATATCACCTGGACGACACTATTTACTTAGCTCGGGGGTAGTAGTAGGGGTGGTACAGTTGTCGATCTATGTCGATGACGACCGATCTCGGTCGGTGAGGAGGAGCTTCTTTTCAGCCGGCCACCCACAGCAGAGGTCCATGTAATACTGAGCCACAACTTACACGTGTGGTCGGATCCACGTGCTCAATACTCCTCCTATCTGGAACCCGGACTTCGATTGGCAGATCCTCCAGGACACGCCTGCAGGCGGTTTTATGGGAGTTTACTTGTATACCTGAGAATCCTTTGGGTTCTTCGCCATTGCTTATACGTAAAAATCCTTTGACCGGTACCGAAGGAATGTTGAAGATGAGCCTTTGTTGTCGTAATATCCTTCTCCTCTCAGAGATGCTCACAAAAACTTTTGCTTCTTCTTCTTGTTTTTCATTTTTTTTTTAAGTTCGTTCTTTTTCAGGTCTTCCTGTTGCATGGGAACGGTGCCGCTCTCGGATGGACGGACGGGCCGGGCATCCATGGAATTTCATTTTATCCTGCGTTAATTAGAGAAAAACGCAATTCCGTATCCCGCGGGTCGCCCTTGTTTTTTCGTCGTGTTAAATTGCTCGTTCGAGAGGCCGCGGCGGTTTCGGATTTGCGAGAGACGAACCGTTATTTTTTCCACCGTTCGAACTATGGCAACTCTGAAATCTTGGCCCATTAAACTGCCTCCCCCCAATTAAATTTGATATGAGCTATTTCTCACATCGACCAGAGAAACTCTAAATTTTATTTTCCCATCAAAAGTCTTTTAGGTACACTTTAATATTAATGTATGATGAAATAACACTGAAGTTTTAGATTTTTCAATACAGAACCTCAAAATTGACGAAGAGATGGTCTAAAGCCTGTTATGAACGACAACAAAACTTTACATTTAATGCAGACCTTTATTGAAGAGATGATGTCAATCACCAAACCGTCTAGTTGAAATTTCATTAGCATTTTTAAACATCTGATTAGTAAATTGTCTATCTTGCCTATTTTCATAAATCGTCTGGATGGAGTTGTACAGAATTTCTCGCTACTGAAACTACTGAAAACTGCAAAGAACCATGAAAACTGATTTGCAAATGTTAAATAAGGAACCTCTTTAGACTTTTTAGACTTGTGGGTATAAATGGGTTTAACATAGTGATTTTACGAAAAGCCGGATACCGGATTGCCACATTATTGCGATATTTGAATAAAAATGATATTAATAAGAAAGCAGATAAGATATGTCAACTTATTTGGATCCAAGATACAAAATGAACTTTTTTGATGCTGATTTAAGTAACCAAGCAACTCTAAAAAGAGGATACTTTAATTAACAATTGGCGATATTTCCACAAGGATCCTTCAAGAAATTAATTTTATACCGAATTTTGAAAATTATCGATGAAATTGCAACATCGAAAATTTTATCAAAACTTCAAATATTGTTTTCTCAAAAACTAAAAGTTATTTTTCAAAACGGCTTGGTTCATTGGGAAGAGGACACTTTTATTAACACTTTGGGAAATTATCAAACTCATATTCCAAGCAATGGATTTTATATGAATTTTTAAATCTTAATCGGCGAAAATTGGAAAATTCGAAAAAATTATCGATCATTTCAAAAATTTATTTCTCAAGAACTAAAAGTGATTTTTCAAAACGGCTTTTTGCATTAAAAAGAGGATACTTTAATTAATAATTGGTGATATTTCCACAAGGATCCTTCAAGAAATTAATTTTATAGCGAATTTTGAAAATTATCGATAAAAATTGCAACATCGAAAATTTTATCAAAACTTCAAATATTGTTTTCTCAAAAACTAAAAGTTATTTTTCAAAACGGGTTGGTTCATTGGAAAGAGGACACTTTTATTAACACTTTGAGAAATTTTCATACTCCTATTCCAAGATCTGGATTTTATACGAATTTTTAAAACTTAATCGGCGAAAATTGCAAAATTCGAATAAATTGTTGATCATTTCAAAAATTTATTTCTCAAAAACTGAAAGTGATTTTTCAAAACGGCTTTTTGCATTAAAAAGGGGATACTTTAATTAATAATTGGTGATATTTCCACAAGGATCCTTCAAGAAATTATTTTTATAGCGAATTTTGAAAATTATCGATAAAAATTGCAACATCGAAAATTTTATCAAAACTTCAAATATTGTTTTCTCAAAAACTAAAAGTTATTTTTCAAAACGGGTTGGTTCATTGGAAAGAGGACACAAACATTTTGAGAAATTTTCATACTCCTATTCCAAGAACTGGATTTTATACGAATTTTTAAAACTTAATCGGCGAAAATTGCAAAATTCGAAAAAATTGTTGTTAATTTCAAAAATTTATTTCTCAAGAACTAAATGTGATTTTTCAAAACGGCATTTTGCATTAAAAAGAGGATAGTTTAATTAATAATTGAAAGTGATAACAGCGACAGTTCTGTTAGTAATGAATGAGCAAAGAGAAGAAAACTAGACGAAACTGCAACACGAGGTTTTATATATCGTATTGGAATTGTTACAATGAGGTTGCTAATGACAGACCTGATATAAATAAAGTTGTATTCAATGAAAAAAGACCACTAGAAATAACACTAAAGTTTTAGACATATTTTTTTTGAGATTTGAGATGGCTCACTATAGATTTTTTAATACAGAACCTCAAAATTAACACCGAAGAGGTAGTCTAAAGACTGTTATGAATAACAACAAAACTTTAGATTTAACGTACACCTAAATTTATTGAAGAGATGATGTCAATCACCAAATTTCAGAAAATTCATTAGCATTTTTAAACATCTGATTAGTAAATTTCTCACTACTGAAACTGCTGACAACAAATGTTAAATAAGGAAGCCCTTAGTATTATTCAGACTTGTGGGTATAAATGGGTCAACACAGTTTAAAATAATTATTATTGGGGATTAGTTAAAGATTAATCTATGATCACTTTGTAGACGTTTCATTTTTAATATAAAGTTGTACACTTTTAACCCACAAACAGGAACAAACTCGTTCAAAATCGGGTCAGTCTCCGTTTTCTTTTTCACCGACGCCAGCAAATTTATCTCCAGGACGTCTGTTTCATTCGAGATTTCTTCTGGAAGGAAAAAAACGTCGTGGTTTGATTAATTGCGCAATTGTCACGTTTAATTGTCGCCGTTGGGCTAAAATTAAACGCAACAATGCGGATCGCTCAGAGCGCCATTCATTACGTATTCGACGACGATTACATTTTAATTGTATTATTGTGTGTTGATCGCGCATTAACCGCGGTTGCGTTGCGCGTCTACGCGTTTCGTCTTGCTTCCTATCGCACGCCGGGGAACGACTTTGAACAATGACTATTTCCAAGATTAATAGACGACGGTGCGACGTTCCGAGCGATTTTTGAGGTTAGCATTCGAACCGTTCCATTCAAGACTTTCTTTCGCGTCCCATTCTCTAGATTTATTTTTAAAACTCGCCCTCCCGCGATCAATGAAAAATCAATTACTTCTGTCGATTATATTGGCGCTTAAAATAGATGGGATTGTGGTTTTGTACTTTATTCGATTAATAGAACCTAAGAATGATTTAAATAAATATATATATACCATATACTATTTAAAGCAACAAATTTTTTTAAGAACAAAAAGTGACCACAGTCCGAGAGGTTACCCAGAAGAGCTTAATCACTGTGGGGCCTTCAATTTCATCACGATAGACCGTGTCAGACTCACTTAAGTCATCCAGATTGTTATCGGGTTCTGTAATTGATAGCGATGGTATTTATCCTGTCTATTGGTTAATTCCTAAATGATATGTCTCCTTTGTTGCTCGAGCTTTATCTTAGAGAGGTAATCTGCTTTGAGCACCTTGGGAAAGTTTTGATAATTGGCGATCGGAATGTGAGAATCACTTTAACTTTTTTTTTTAGTTTCGAATCGAACCACTCCCTTAAGTAATTTTGGCAAATTCATTCTTCGTAATTTATTTCAAATTTTTCGAAAACATTTTCAAAATATGTTATTAAAAAAATGATAATTTCAAATTAATCTCAAGAATTAATATCTCACCCACACTAGCTACACAGTAGTAGATGGAAATATTTTTATTAAAATCTACAGTAATGATAGAAATAGACAAAGTCTAGACTAGAGATAGCATCAGCAGGTGACATTAGTCGCTATAAAACTTGTTGCAAACTAAATTCTCAGCTATAATTTCAGAGATAAGATTCAGTGCAAAAACATACTTTAACCAGTTCAGTGGACAAAGGATGGTTCGACTTGGTTTGGAAATAAGTAGGGTTTATTTAAAAAAAAGCTATATGAAGACCTTGTTTGCCTTCATCTTATATTGAAATAACCAAAATTCTAATAACAAAATCTAAGTTTCCAAGTAACTAAGAAATTATTACCTACATTAGAGTTCCTATTACGAGTCGTCTGTATCGTATTTGAGATTGAAAGCGTCGATGAATGATAATCGTATACGGATGGCGTTTTTTGAGAAAGACTCATTTTTGAACTGTATCTTAGTTTTCTTTAATAGGCAAGTCGTTATAACCGACATAACTGTTGAGAGGTGGCCTAATGGCACTTTTTGCTAAGGACCTAAGTATTGAGTGTGTTTGCTTGCTATCCCCATACGTATATACATATATATAAGGGACCAGAGATGATTGACATTTATAAATAAAACTGACCTTACTCAACATTCTTCCAGGAGATGATTGACGTTTCAAAAGAAAACTAACCTTACTCAACATTTTTTCCGGCGATGATTGACGTTTCAAAAGAAAACTAACCTTATGCAACATTCCTTCCCGACGTGATTGACATTTATAAACAAATCTAATATTTTTCCCTTGTTGGAAAGTTATGCAGGTTTCAACCTCATTGTAACAATCCCAATACGATATATCAAATCTCTTGTTGCAGTTTCGTCTAGTTTTCTTCTCTTCGCTTATAATTCATCATCACATTCATTACTAACAGAACTGTCGCTGTTATCACTTTCGATTATTAATTAAAGTATCCTCTTTTTAATGCAAAAAGCCGTTTTGAAAAATCACTTTTAGTTCTTGAGAAATAAATTTTTGAAATAA